TACCCTCACTGAGTCAAGTATAAACACTGAACAAATATATGTTCATTTTTTTCAAAAAATAGGCATATGAGGTACAACATTCCTGAGTCTTTACGCTCATCTCTAGTGACAAAGATTTGAGTAAGAAAAAGATAATAATTATTTAAAAACTAATAATGAATGTAAGCAAGTTAACCTAATATCACAATCAAAACTAGAACTTTTCAGGACTGGTAGAAAAGGATTAAGGGAAAGTATATTCCAGGCAATGAGGGCTTGGTTGGCTGAACTTGTGTCAGTTTTAAGATTAAAGCTCTTGGATTTCTAGAGGAAAAGAACTGTGAGCTTCAAGTAGGTATGTCTGAATTGAATTCTCATTGTTCTTTTGGACTCTGTCCAATATGGATAAGCCTTGGGCTCTAGAAGAGGTTTCTACCCCGCCATGGTTATACATTGTACAATATGGTGAGAGGTAGGAGGGAATTTCCGCCTGAATTCAGCAGGTGATCACCTTTATCAACTTGGACTCTTTCAGCAACAACACCATGGGTAGAAATATGATGCAGCGATGAGACTCTGGGCTAGCCAGATGTTGGTGCTGTGACTAATGCTAGGCATCGGTTAGCTTTCCTTGGGAACACTGATTAATAAGGAAGTGAGCATGATGTTCCCTCTTCTCTTGGTACATCCTCTTCCAGTACTGCCCTCAGACCCAGGCAAGAAGGGTCCCTGTGGCAGCTCTGTTCTGGTCATAGCTCTTCCCACAATGTGAAGAGTTTATGGGGCCAAGTGAGCATGCCTACCCACAGCCTGTGTCACTTCATTCCTGTATCATGCTCCAGGTCCCTGGGATCTCAGAATTCCCTAAAAGGCTGATTGAAATCTGCTTCTAGCTTGGCTCTTCTTCCCTAGGTCCGGCCTCCTGAGCTCAGACTGCTTGTCAGTTTTCACACCTTTGGGTCTGTGCAAGCAGTGGCCAAGGGAAACTGTCTGTGAGGGGCATGGGCAGAGCTCAGATGTGTGGGCTGGGAGACACCACACATGGTGCATGGCCCCTTGCAGTGTGGACAGGGTAAGGGGCGCAGAGGGGAGGTGGATGATTTAGTTTTTCTGCACCGCCAGGTGCTGCCACAATCTAGTCTGGAATCTGAGTAGTCTCAGAGCTCTAAATTGATCCTGACCTCTCAGGTCATCATGAAAGTATATTTGTCCATAGGGGGCTAAAACATATTTAATGGCTTATTTGCTTGATGTAGAACTTGTCAGTAGTTAGACGTATGGTTTGTGGGCCTCCACTGGTACTCTTGTCTTGGCTCTGAAAATGTCAGGGCAAGCCTGTTCTCTTGTCTCCATCTATTCAAATCCCACCTTCTCTCTACCTATTCAGGTCCTGCTTCCTTCTCAGAGGCTTACAGCTGCACTGTCCAATATGGTACCTGTGAGCCTCATGTGGCTTTTGAGCACTTGAAATGTGGCTACTGTGTCAGAGGAACTGAAGCATATTCAGTTTATTTGATTTTATTTAAATTGATTTAAGTGTAAAAACTGAAGCAGTGTAATATTTTTTAAAATACTGATTACATATTGAAATCACAATAGTTCGGATATATTGGGTTCAATAAAATTAATTTTACTTTACAAAAAACATGGTTACTAGAAAGTTTTAAATGGTATTTGTGACTTATATCTCTATTGGACAGTGGTGGCTTTAGAAAGCAAGCTCATCTGTCACATGACCTCTGCATATAAATTTTGATACTAGGATGTATGTAATTTAACATTTCTTCTTTGTTTCCTTGGTGTTAGAACTGTGTTCCTAGAAAGACAGGACTTCATTGATGCGCCTCCCAGTGCTCTGTAGAGTTGAACTGTACCATTTAACAGTGCTCATTAAACTGTTACAAAGTTATTGAATGTTCAGAACAAAACAGGAATTGTTCAGTCTTTTGTATTCTAAATCAGACATACTCTGACTATGGGTTGAGATAGTAACTTGTTTCCAACCAAATCTAAAGGACAGTGCAAACCTTTGTATTTAACTAGTCCAAATCTTCTGAGTTTTATTAGAGCACCAATCTGTGTGAAATCTCCATCTGAATCCTTCTCTAACTAAAGGCCATGTCCTATTTGGAATGGATGCAAAGATGACTTCTCTTCCACTTCTCTAACATAAGAGACAGGGACTGAGTTGGCCTAGAGCAGCTCTGCTATGCACCTCTCCAAATCCCATTTGCTCATCTGGAAAACACAAGAGCTATGATGCAGAACAGCCTCTGGAATCCCTGCCAGCCCTGATGTTCTATGAGAATCTACTCAGGGATATCTCCCATGGCACAGCTTCTCTGGGGCTTGGTTAACTTGCCAGAGGCTCCTGTGATCTGACAACGCATATGTATCATGGAATTGGACCTGTCTATTTCTTTCTGGAGACCTTCTGGCAATTTCTGCAGCCTGCCCCGTTCAGTAAGAAGTTTCCAGAAAGTTGGCCTACTGCCCATGTTTCCTCAGAAATTGGGGGAGTGTGGAGCCAGGCAATTGTTTTTATACTTTGAGCTACTTACTTCCTTCCTGTACCCATTGAGGGACATAGGGAGTGCCATTTGTGTACCTTGGAGGTTTTTAAGATTTGCAGAGACCATCATATTTAAGGCTAAAAATTCTTAAATGCTATCAAAAAATAGCACATTAACTATTGTTAATAAAGCTCAGTTTCAGATGGCTATAGAGCCTTATTCCCCAAAAAGTCTAAATTACCTAAGTTGTGAAACAGTTAACTTTTTGGTTAAAACAAAAACAAAACCAAAAACAATGTCATCATATTATATGCATTATAATTGGTTTCCTTGATTGGTATTGAACTGCTATGTACCAGACCCTGTGCTAGGTACTGAAGGGAATGAAAAAATGAGCATACAGATTCCCAATTCACAATCCAGTCTGGGAGGGAGACAAACACAAATAACTCTAAAAGAAAATTCGGGGAAATAACTCTTTAGGAGATCCAATGAGGTAGAATTCTATTCCTGAGAGCAAGGATGAAGGCACTCAAAGTTTGACAATTCTGTGGAATTAAAAAAAAAAATCACTCAAGCTATAAATGCACTAAAAGCAAACAAGACTGAAGACAGAATGAAGTCACCAGGCTGTCTCTGGGTATAGGATGTGTGGCTTACCTGTGATATAAAAGCTTATGTTTCTTCCCACCGTCCCAACTTTATTGGAAGCTATGCAACTGTAGATTCCAGAAATTCTAGAGTCAGCCACAACCAAGGTGCTAGCCGTCTGCAAAAGAAAAGGAAACTTTAGCTAGCAATAGGACAAATAACTAATTGAACACCCCAAGCTACTTCTGAGGTTGAAATGATTCAGCTATTCCATTCATTCTGTAAAGAGAGTATTGCATAGGTGGTGGTTACTAGAAGGCTCTCCTCTTGCCGAGCCCCAACAAGAATGGAAAAATAACAGGAAAGCAGGTCCTCAGGAGACCGGGGCCTATGACATCCGACTCATATGAGGGTTTCAGGCTTATTTATCTCGTGCTGCTGGTCTAACAATTACAGACCTGAAGCTGAGATGTGGGACTGCACGTCCTACCCTACGAGGTGGTCAGTCCCACATCAATGAGAGGAACAGGTGAGGCTGAGGCCTTCCCTTTTGTTTGGGTGACCTGAGAGTATGGATGCCAGTTGTGACAGGAGCTTTCTCTGCTATTTGGTTCTATAACAAGAATGTTAAGTGAGCAAGTATAGAAGAGAATGTTTGGTTGAAACTTTATTTTTTCTTTAAGAAATGGGGTCTTGCTATGTTGCCCAGGCTGGTCTTGAACTTCTGGGCTCAAGCAGTTTTCCCACCTTAGTCTCCCAAGTAGCTGGGACAACAGGCACATGTCACTGCACCTGGCTTGAAACATTTTTTTATATGCTCAAATAATGTGGCGTGCAACAATGGATGGTCCTGAAGGAGGCCGTGTGTGTGTGTGTGTGTGTGTGTAAATTACCTAATTTCTCAGTTGTCTCTATTCCTAATCTAGAAGATGAAAAATTAAACTATGAATTAATCGGCCGGGCGCGGTGGCTCACTCCTGTAATCCTAGCACTTTGGGAGGCCAAGGCGGGCGGATCATGAGGTCAGGAGATCGAGACCATCCTGGCTATCACGGTGAAACCCTGTCTCTACCAAAACATAAAAAAAATTAGCCAGGCAAGGTGGCGGGCGCCTATAGTCCCAGTTACTCAGGAGGCTGAGGCAGGAGAATGGCATGAACCCAGGAGGCGGAGCTTGCAGTGAGCCAAGATTGCGCCACTGCACTCCAGCCTGGGCGACAGAGTGAGACTCCGTCTCAAAAAAAAAAAAATTATGAGTTAATACAATAATATTGTTCCACTAGACTTTAGTGCTGTTATTTGACAACTTAGTCCCTAAAGAAACATTAGCAGTCAAAATTGCATGAACTTGAAAGCACTTTTCAAACTGTGATGTCTAAAAAGTAATGAAACAAAATAATGAAACAAAATTTTAGACAACTTAAAGACTTGCAGTCTTCCAAAGAAAAAAAGTTGGCAATATGAAACAAATTGTTAAACATTCTTAAATTTAACCCAAGCTTGCATTAAAAAGTAGTGTATAATCTACATGAAAAAAATAAGAAAACTAGTTAGTTTCTCATACTTAAAATTACAGAAAGGAAAAGTTGGTCCAGTTACTTATAAATCTTTGCAGCCTGTCTCCTAGGACAAAAATAACTGGTTATGGGCTTCGAAATTGCAGAGGCTGTGCTAATGCTTCCAGACTAACGGAGTGTCCTAGCTGAAGTATAATGACCAAGTGACTTACAGGCTAAAGCAATGTAAGGCTGAAATGTGACAGCTGACTTTCCAAGGTGGTGGACATACTCTACAAGTGGTTTGGCTGTAGGACAGAGTCCTAACATTTTCTGAGTTTCTAAGTAATGTGCTAGGCACTTTAGTTGTGTTCTCTTATTCCATCTAATAAATTAAGGTATTTCTGTCTTTAATCTACAGATCAGGAAGACTTAAAAACATGTTCCTAATGTTTTCAGCCAGCAAATTCATTGGTCCAAATTCTCTACAATTTTCACTGTGGTATGGTGAGTAGTACACAGTGCTTTCTCTTCTGTTTGATGGAAGGATCTGCTTAATTACACCTACCCATATATTTCTCTGTGTATTATTGAAATTATTGATAATGAAAGTGTCTGCAATATGTGGCAGACAATTTAGCAGACATTTATTGAGTGATTATCAAGGCATTGCCCAGATGTTGTAAGGGAGACAGAGATGAATATGACACAATCCCTCCCCTTAACACTATCATTCTTTAAGGTGATAGAAAGGAATTTCCCTCCTTGAAGATCATACAAAAAATATTCTCTCTTTTGCAAGGAAAGCTCATACGAAGGCGAATAACCCACAGAAAAGAGTATGAAAGAGAGCTCAGGTGTCCCTTTCTTATTTTGACGATGAATCTTTGTAAGAGGTGGGACATAAAAAATTCTGAATAGCCATTTCCTTGTAATTGTTGTTCCCACCAGTTTAGAGTCATGGAAGGAAATGGAAGTAGTTCGAAGAGAAGCTTGTAGGTGGCAACATGAGAAAACTGTTAGCTTAGATGCTTCAAAGCAGTTTGCAAAAACTTCAGAAACAAGGAGCTCAGATGAAGCCTTCTTAAGCTGGGGTGTCAGCTCCAGCACTGTTTTTCTTATGAACTTAGTTCTCAAGTGTTTATCCTAATGGGCCTCAGGAGAAACTTACTTAGATTCTCAGATTAATCGTCGCTCAGTAAGTAAGTGAAAAACCCATTTCTGTTGGCTTGAGAGTGTTTGAAATTATAGACAACATTTACCTGCCTCTATGAGTTGTGTTTGGGTTTTTATTTAAAAGATTTTGATTTCATTGAACTTAGAGCAACTGAGAACAAGAACTGGGTTTTGTGGCAAGGGAAAATCAATTCAGATGTATACATTTGCCACGTTTAAGACCTGTGCAGGTAACCTGGGAACGGCTGTGGCCATTTTACAAGTCTCAACGAACAGTCAAATAGGTCTAAATTTATGTATAATCAGAGAATAAAATTGAGGTGCTCCGAAGTGAAATGAATCCAGGTCACAAGATGGAGACAGAAATGTATTTGAATTTTTCTCACTTTGTGTGAGAAATGACACCTTCCAAAACAAGACATATTACTCGTAGTCAAGCCTGCCCCAGAAATCATGTCTACAGAGCTTCTATTAAAATAGAAGCAGAAAACAACGTTGATGGGAGTTTACATTATTTCTTTGTTTCTGCATACCTTTATGTATCCCTTACAATGCACCAGGCAGCATGCAAGGCACTTTACAGGAATTGTCTCATTTAATCCTCCCTAAAACCCTGTGAGATGGGTATATTATGCTATTCTACAGGTAAGACAACTGAGGTTCCGAGAGATTAAATGATTCACCCAAAGATATAAAGGACCACAGACAGGCCTGGGCAGAATTTATGCTCAGGTGTGTCTGCCTCCAGTGCCTATGCTCTTAATCTCTATACCAAATTGCTTCTCGTCTTGAGACTCTTTAAATTGAATAACACAGATCAATTGGCAAAGTTCTGTCTACACCTTGGATTGAATTTTTCCTTGAGAATACTTCCTTTAATCAGCAGAGATGGGTAACATAAATTAAATACTACTACTATTTACAGAAATACTAGTTTGCTTCTTTGATGACATTTTACATAAGCGGCAAGCTGCTTTTCAACTGTTGTGTTGTTATGTGGTTTGAAAATATATTTGATAAGTACAATGGTTATCATTAAAGAAGAAAAGTTAAAAATAAGATGAAACATATTCTATGATCAGTTTTACTAAAATTTATCTCATTTCTAGAGTACTTCTCTTTCAGAGGATATATTTTTAAATTATAAATTCAAACATTTTCTCGTTACAAATAAAATTGTTTGACAATTAAAGTTTAAACTTTATAGGGTCAGAGAAAGGAGCTCAAGTGTGAACTGTAGCTCAGTGTAGTCTGGCTGGACTAGAAGGCAGCTTCGCATGGGACAGTGAGTTTCAATGTCTGAGTCTTCTGAATAAAGGAAAAAATCTCTTCCTCAGTGCTTACATCCAAATACTATGGTGTCAAGGGAAAAAATGAAAATAGCATCACAATTGGGGCATGCAATATCAACTAAATACTTTCAAAGAGAAAGTAACCAAGAATTTGAGTTGCATGTTTGAAATTATGATCATTTATTCTATAAGGTATGCCAAAATAAATTCTTAAGGGTATTTACTTATATTAGTTCTATAATTAGTTTTCATTTTCCGCAATTGAAAATAATTGAAGGAGGACTGAGGAAGAGAAAAAAGCAGAAGTGCTGAAATGAAATTAGGCTATCAGGCTGGATACGGCGGCTCAGGCCTGTAATCCCAGCACTTTGGAAGGCTGAGGCTGGCGGATCACCTGAGGTCGGGAGTTCAAGATCAGCCTGGCCAACATGGCGAAACCCTGTCTCTACTATAAATACAAAGATTAGCTGGGCCTGGTGTAGTCCCAGGCGCTTGTAGTCCCAGCTACTTGGGAGGCTGAGGCAGGAGAATCGCTTGAACATGGGAAGTGGGGGTTGCAATGAGCCGAGATCGTGCTAAAATAAATAAATAAATAAATAAATAAATAAATAAATAAATAAATAAATAAAATTAGAATATCAAAGGTTATATTAGTCTTAACGGACTCATGCTTTCTACTTCTCATTTTTACTACATTTGCTTTTCGGGGTGCCTCCAGTTGCCTGGCCCTCAAGGATTTACATGTTAGAGAGAGATCCTTCAAGCCCATTCTCTGGGCTCTTTGCTATGGCCCAGGAATGCTCATAAAACTATCAGCAGGTACTGTAAGTTTGGAGTTTTTCATGCTCATTCCTTCCTTCCTTCCCTTTCATTAAGCATTAGTAATTTGTTACTACAATGTTGTTTGAACCTCACGGAATAGAATGGATGGGGTGATGTGTCATTCAACCTAATTCCAGCACTCGTTTTTTAAAAATCTATATATGGAACACTGATTTTAATCTCGGGATGTTTCTAATATAGCTTCCTTTCAAGTGTTTCACGGAGCAATAAAAGTAGATGTATAAAGGTCATGGAAGAATCTAAAATTAACACAGGGTGGCACATTTGAGCCAACTGATGGGAAAATAGAACGTGAGATTTAGAAAACATTGGGGTGTGTGTGGGAACTGAAACACAAGCTGTAATTCTGTGGTTGGGAGTCTTGCTCCTGTCACGGATTTGTCTTATACAGGACACACTTCTCAAGGTACAGTCAGAAGGATTTCAATGGAAACATTGCTAACACATTAAAATGGTAATGATTCTCCAACCTTACAGAATTAATGCTGTGATAGCGTATTTCCTGTGTGTTTTTTCTAACACGGGGTTCCTTCTACTTCCTACTCCATATCTACAAACCTAACAGTTTGGCAACCCCATTTAGACAATACGAAAGTGCACATTTGCTATTAGCAACTCCAGTTGATGACTCACTTTTCACAAATCTGGGCCAAAACTCGCCAATAAGGAAACTAAATTTTATTGTCCTCTATACCCTTCCTTGAGTTAAACAAAAAAATGCAACAAAACAAAGAAAAAAAATCCAACAGGTGCTCCAGCGTGAGTGTGAGCGCTGCCCCACTGACCTGTGGAGTAGCATTGCTGGGCAGGCTACCATGTGACGGTGGATAAAGGGATCACTGCAGTCTAAGCTGGGACTTTAACTTACTTTCTAAAAATGTATACAAAACAAAAACAGTTTTAATTGTAAGGGAAAAAGCACTGCATATAACTCAGAAACAGCAAAACTTCCATTTTGTCACCATCATATGACAGATACATTTTTTTTCAAACCCACAAAAAGATACATTAGTAGATGCTAAAAGTAAAGTTACTAAATTCTCCTAAATTCAAGATATGAACTCAATAATTTATTTAAAGTCAGTTGTAATTGACTTTAGCAATTACAACTGCTAATGGGATATGTACCATATATATTTATATATATTTATATATTATATATAATATATATTTTATATATAATATATATTTATATACGTATATTTTTTATATATAGAGAGAGAGAGAGACTTTGTTTAGTATGAGTATTAAAAGTTTTTTCAGTGCAAACAATTGTTTAACAAAGTCTTCATTGTATATGATCACAATCAGTTGGGGGAATTGCATAAGGGTACATATGACATTCACTTGAATAAAGTAGTACTTGTATAGGACTTTCTCATGTTATGTTATGTTATATTATGTTATGCTATGTTATGTTATGTTATTTATTTACTTTTTGAGACACAGTCTCACTCTGTCACGCAGGCTGGAGTGCAGTGGCACAATCTCGGCTCACTGTAACCTCCACTTCCCGGGTTCAAGCGATTCTTGTGCCTTAGCCTTCCGAGTAGCTGGGATTACAGGCGCCCACCACTATGCCCTGCTAATTTTTGTATTTCTAGTAGAGATGAGGTTTTGCCATATTGGCCAGGCTGGTCTTTAACTTCTGACCTCAGGTGATCCGCCCGCCTCGGCCTACCAAATTGTTGGGATTACAGGCATGAGCCACCACACCTGGACTTCATTATGTTATTTCATTTCACCCTCGTAACAGGAAACTAGCTAGGGCAAGTATCATTAGTTCTGTTTTTTTGGAGGAAAGAACTCAGGCTGAGAGAGGTGAGCTGGTTTGCATGTGGTTATACAGAGAGGAAGTGTCATAGTTTGACTCCAGGGCTCCTGATGGCAGGTTGGGTAGCACAAGTGCAGAGGTCTATATTTAAAATCTTCTGCATAACTATAAAATTACAAGACAATAAATTTGTTTTAAACCTTCATGGAGAAAATCAGGGAAGTTCTTTTATCATGGGCATGTTTTGATACTCCACTTCCACTGATTTTGATAGGTTTTACATTATATATGGAGTCAAGTTGCTACTTCATGGTTTGGGTTAGCCAGAAACTTCACCTAGCTTTCTCATTTTTCATTTTATTTCCTATTGTATATTTTTGTGGATAGGATATCAAAATAGCACTAGACGTTACCACTGAAATTAAGCTTATAAATTCTTGTGTTAATATCCAGCAGTTAACAGTATATCCTCCTGATACGCTCAGGAAAAAACAAAATGAATTGACATAACCAATGAATGGCATCTTGACATTTTTCTAGTACTTTGTGACAACTAATTTGCTGTCCACTGCTAATAAACTGAGGTAGTTTCCTTATTAAAAATATCTGAAGGCCGGATGTGGTGGCTCATGCCTGTAATCCCAGAACTTTGGGAGGCCAAGGCAGGCAGATCACAAGGTCAGGAGTTCTAGATTAGCCTGGCCAACATGGTGAAACCCTGTCTCCACTAGAAATACAAAACTTAGATGGCGTGTGCCTGTAATCCCAGCTACTTGGGAGGCTGAGGCACAAGAATCGCTTGAACCCTGAGAGGCAGAGGTTGCCGTGAACTGAGATTGGGCCACTGCACTCCAGCCTGGGCAACAGAGTGAGACTCTATCTCAAAAAAAAAAAAAAACAAAAAAAAAAAAAGAAAGAACAAATTAAACTTTCAAGTTTATATAACTTCTTCTAAGTATTTCATTAAACTGCTCTCTTATCAATAGCCACACATCACGGAATGTTTTAAAGTACTGCTTATTTCTGTTAGAGAAAAAGAATTGTAAACCACCTACAGCTACTGCTGTAGTTATAAAAACTTCCTAAATGTTTAATAAGAGACTATTGGTGTTATTGTATAAGCTACTGCCACTCTGACTAATTTCTACATTGGCTTACTTGACTATAAGAGCATTAGGTTTTGGAAAGGAAAGACTTTGGTTTGAGTCTCTCATTTACACTTTTAAGCTGGCTTCGGGTTAATCATCTTATCATCTCTGTTTTCTTTATCTTTAAAATGGAGATAACCACGCTCATCTGCCAAAGAATGATGTTGACATTAGCATATGTCAAAAAGTTTCACTTAATGAAAATTATAGATGTTATTTGTTGTTATTGTTAAATCATACATGAGGAACGATGCCATCTACTTTGTCATTTTCAAGTGCAAAGGGTACGGCTGAATAGATAACATAAGCATATCCATACTCAAGCAGGCAGTGGAAACTGTATTAACAGTCTCTACTCCAAATCAAGATATATATGTGTAAACAGACATGTCAGCAAGGGGATACTTGATATGTTTTTTCTTTTTTTAAAGAATCACAGCTGGGCACGGAGACTCACACCTGTAATCCCAGCACTTTGGGAGGTCGAGGCAGGAGGATCACCTGAGGTCAGGAGTTCAAGACCAACCTGGCCAACATGGTGAAACCCTGTCTCTACTAAAAATACAAAAATTAGCCAGGCGTGATGACAGGTGCCTGTAATCCTAGCTACTTGGGAGGCTGAAACAGGAGAATCACTTGAACCCAGGAGGCAGAGGTTGCAGTGAGCCGAGATCATGCCATTGGACTCCAGCCTGGGTGACAGAGTGAGACTCCATCTCAAAAAAAAAAAAAAAAAAAAAGAAAAAAAGAATCATTATCCCTGTGCCAGACAATAGCAGATTTTTAAGTGTATTCTTTTCTAATTCAACAGGAAAAAGCCACTAGGTCTGAGAACCACTGAGACTTTCCTAGCTCACAGGCTTGTTAGCTATTGCCAAGGTTCAGTGGGGGTGAGGGGAGTATAAAATGAACAGTGCGCTGATGAGGTCAAGGAATCTTGATAGGTTGTGTGTTTGCGCATCCCCCCCCACTTAAGCTTTGATCTTGCAAAGACAGAGGGAAATACATATTTCACAAAATAGAAACATTCAGTTTTAGCTCTAAGTCTTGTACTAGCTTTTGCTTACTGGGATCCCACTTTATGTACATCAGTGATTCCAATCCTCATCACATGCTGTAATCATCTGGGAAACTTTTACAAGCCCTAGGCTGCACTCCGGAGATTTGGATGTAGTAATAATTGGTAGAGTATTCTAATAGGCAGCCAGGATTGCGAACCACCAGTGTGGGCCAGTTTGACGTTCAAGCGGACAGTGCCATCTCTACCATTAGGAATGAGTACTCATTATGTTGGAACTGGCAGCTTGAGTAGTCTCTGTATGTATCTCCATAAAGACATAGTTCAGACATTGTCTTTCTTCTGTCTGAATTTTTGTTTGAACATTTGAATTATTCCTGGTTCCAATAAACCTAGAATTGGGAGCTGACAGTGTATTTGTAGAATAAACATCCCAGTGCTCATTTTTACAAACAATACCTTATTCTTTCCTTCTATTATTGCCATGCGCTGAGTGATGCTCTCAATTCTGTTTCCTATGTTGCTGTCAGGATCCAGGATAAAGGACTCTTCATTATTGGAACAAAAGTCATACC